AGTTGAAAGTCGTCCTTGGCTATACAGTAGTTGGAAGGCAGCCTGAGCCAAATGAGATCTTGTCTCAAAACCAAAACAGGTCAGGAAGATGGCATCAGGCAGAGCCTGATGACCTGAGTTCATTCCTGGGGCCTAATGGTGAAAGTAAAGAACTGATTGATTCCTAAAGGGTTATCCTTTGGCCTCTACAGGTGTGTGAATGTGCCCACTCACACATGCTCTAAATAAATATAATAAAAGCAAAACAGAACAAATATGTGTTACATATTTTGATTATTTTGTTCTTTTAGTTTTGACCATGCTGACTAATGAAACTGGCTTTGAAATTAGTTCTTCTGATGCTACGGTGAAAATTCTCATTACAACGGTGCCACCCAATCTCCGAAAACTGGATCCGGAACTGCATTGTAAGTCTTTTCTCTCCATTTGTGGCAGAGAGACAGCCAAAGCTTTGAAGATCTCTGGAAATTTTAGTATTTACTGTGAAAGAATTTTACTTTCTCCCTAATTTGTGAATAGTTTTACAGCTTCCTAGTGAGATTTTCAAAGCCTTAAAAAGGATTGCAGAGGAAAAATCTTGAAGAAAAAGATAAAAAGTAAAATCTTGTATAAATACTTGTGAAGAGAAATAGATTATTGGGAAAGATTTGGCTGGGGAGAAACAATAGTGTTTAGACAAGTGGCTTGCCACACTCGGACTGGTATTGGGATTGAATTTATTGCACACTTAGTAGGAAAGTTTCTTAGCCTTTTGTACTTGTCTTCAGTGGACATCAAAGTGTTGCAGAGTGCCTTAGCGGCCATCCGGCATGCGCGTTGGTTTGAAGAAAACGCTTCTCAGTCCACGTGAGTCTCCTTGGTTATTTGATTAAGATAACCCTTCCTGAGGAGTGTAGTGGTTCTGGCCTATGATCTAGCCATCAAGAATAACAGTACACACCCCTACTTCCTCTGACAGAAGTTTCAGAAGTGATGTCTGGGTTTTGATTTTCACCTAACAAGATTGAAGGAAGACGTACTGATTATTTTAGTGTATGTATGTGTGCATGTGCAAATGTGTGCATAGGCACATACATGGGTCATAGTCATGTGAGTCTCAGGGATTGAACTCAGGTTTGTCAGATTTAAGAACAAATGTCTTTCTCTGCTGAGCCAGCTGGTGGGCACTGTATATGTAGTTCCCTAAATAGCATAGTCATCTTTGACTAAGTGTGGAAATACCAGTATGGTGTTATTACCTCTAACCTATGGGTCTCTTACAGGGTTAAAGTTCTCATCAGATTGCTGAAGGACTTGAGGATTCGTTTTCCTGGCTTTGAGCCTCTCACACCCTGGATCCTTGACCTTCTTGTAAGTTAAAAAAAAAAAAAAATGCATCTGAGGATATAGCTGGGTAGAGTTGTTTAGTATGTGCAATTCCCAATTGCCAGTACTGCAAAAAAGGAACAAGGGTGCAATTGGAGTCACTCTTGGTCTATATATTTACTTAGTTTAATTTTCTTTTCCCTCTTTTTTTTTTTTTTTTTTGAGGCAGGGTTTCTGTGTAGCAGGGTTTCTTTGTGTAACAGTTCTGGCTGTCCTGTCCTGGAATTAGTTCTGTAGATCAGGCTGGTCTTGAACCCACAGAAATCGGCCTGCCTCTGCCTCCGGAGTGCTGGGATTAAAGGCATGCCCCACCACCGATCGTCTATTTATTTTTAAGACAGGGCTTGTTTGTGTAGCTCTGGCTGTCATGGAACTCACTCTGTAGACCAGGCTAGCTATGAACTCAGATCTGCCTGCCTCTGCCTCCAGAGTACTTGGATGAAAAGGATCCCAGCTTGATTTGCTCTTAAGCCTACCGATACCAGAAATCCAATGAGGCTTGACAGGCTGAGGTAGGAGCATTTGGAATTCGAGGCTAGTCTGTATGACGTAGAGAGATCTTTAAAAACACAACCAAAGTTTATTTAGGAACAGTCTAGGAAGATTGGAAGGGTTTTAGTACTCAGTGAAAGTGCTTTGTGTTTTCATTACTGCCGTCAGCTCGTCACTATAGCTAATTTTCCTTATTACCTTAAGTTTTAGTTTGTTTGAACACAGAATTGCCAGTTGATAGCATACCTACTAGACTTAATTCTTTTCCAGGGACACTATGCTGTGATGAATAACCCTACCAGACAGCCTTTGGCCCTGAATGTGGCATACAGGTAGGTATAGCATGCTTCTTTGGGTTTGGGTTGTAAGCTGTTTTGTGTGCTTTCTAAGTGTTCTTTGTGTTCTAGGCGTTGCTTACAGATTCTGGCTGCTGGACTGTTTCTGCCAGGGTCAGTGGGCATCACTGACCCCTGTGAGAGTGGCAACTTCAGGGTACACACAGTGATGACCCTAGAACAGCAGGTATTAAGACAACCATGAAATGAGTGGGATTCTGGCCAGAAGGCAAAGTGGGAATGGGGATTTCCAAAGATTGGATGACCTTGAGATTAAAAACTAATTTCATCTCTTTCACATGGTTCTAAGGCATGTATAGTACATTTTTATTTTGGCTAATTTTACCCTCCTTGTTCTTCAGGATATGGTCTGCTACACAGCTCAGACTCTGGTTCGAATTCTCTCTCATGGAGGCTTTAGGAAGATCCTTGGCCAGGAGGGAGATGCCAGCTGTGAGTTCTCCTATGATGTGGTCCTGTGGTGGTCCAGAGGTTTTGGTTTATAGAGAGGCTGTATCTTCAGGTGCCCTGATATTTCTGGATATATCTTTCTTTGTTTATTGGGGTATTTATATGAATTGGTTTTTATCTTTCTCTCCTAGATCTTGCTTCTGAAATATCTACCTGGGATGGAGTGATTGTGACTCCTTCAGAAAAGGCTTATGAGAAACCGCCTGAGAAGAAGGAAGGAGAAGAGGAGGAGGAGAATACAGAAGAGCCACCTCAAGGAGAAGAAGAAGAAAGTATGGAGACTCAGGAGTGAACTTCCTTTACTCTTTTCTGCCCAAGGAGAGATGAGCCTCAGCCAGCTGCCATGGGGCTTTATATGGTGGCATTTCTGTGGCATAGGGAGATGGAAGGAAGGAAAACAAACTGTAAAGAAAAGTGTGCCTGCCATTCCACTGTTGATAGCGGCTAAGCAGCTTAAAGTCTCCCATTTGTGACTGTATATGCCCTCCGTCCATGGAATGAACCAGAATGCCACACTTTCCCAATATTTAAACATAACCACTCCCAATCAGTACTCTCTGTTGAAATGTTGTAAACTGTCAAGTGTCTGGGAATTTTTTTTTTCTAAGAAAAATGATTAAAGTACTTCCTAGCAGGGCTTTTGGTTTTATTTTTCCAATATGTAGCAACCAGTTTTTCACTTTTTTTTAAATTTTCCAAGACAGAGTTTCTCAAGGCCTGTCCTGGAACTAGCTCTTGTAGACCAGGCTGGTCTCAAATTCACAGAGATCTGCCTGCCTCTGCCTCCCAAGTGCTAGGATTAAAAGCTTGTGCCACCACTGCCTTCTATACACTTCATTTAGAATTAAAGTTGAATCTTTTATTATAAACACTGACATTGCAATTTCAAACCATGTGAATTAAAAATAATGAACTCCTGGAAGGAACCTTTGTATGTTTGAGAGCAAACTGAAATACATTTAAGCATTGTGATGGTTAATTTTCATGTAAGCTTGGCCTAGGAGATTGATAAGACACACCTGGTTTTCTGCAGAGGATTAACTGAGCAACAAGACCACCCTAACCTACTAAGCTGGGTGCCTGGACAGAATAAAGGGATAAAAGAGAAAGCAGGCAGAATCCCAACAATCCTGTCTCTTGGCCAGCATGAGATGGAGAAGCTTGATTATCACATATTCATGTCAGAAAACAGCCCAGAAACATGGATGACTGTGACCATGACCTGAACCCTTTGAAACCATGAAGCAAGATAAATCTTTTGTTTGTTTAAATAAGCAATACAAGCATTTATTTAACAATGGTGAACAATACTATTAACATGTTCAAGCCAGGGTAGTCAAGATGATTATTACCTTGACTTTGCCTAAGTCCTCAATTGTAAACAAAGCAAGTAAAGTCACAGGTCAAGGAAACCTTGCTTGGATCCAAGTAAGAAGACAGTAATAGGAAGGTTAAAACTTGTTAACTAGGCCTGGAAAGGATGGAACTCAAAATATTTAGCTTATAATTTTTTATCTTATGCAAGCATGTTTTGTCTGCATCTTATGTGTGCACTGTGCCCAAAAAAGCCAGAAGAGGGCAGTGAATCCTCTGGAACTGGAGTTCTGGATGGCTCTGAATCACCATGTGGGTGCTGGGAACTAAGCTCCATCATCTGGAAGAGCAGCCAGTGCTCTTAAATTACTGAGCTGTCCCTCCAGCCCTTAAAATACACAGCTTAAAAAAAAAACAAACAAAGACAAGCCTGGTGGTGGTGGCACATGCCTTTAATCCCAGCACTCAAGAAGCAGAGGCAGGTGGATCTCTGTGAGAACCAGGCCAGCCTGGTTTACAAGAGCTAGTACCAGGACAGGCTCCAAAGCCACAACAGAGAAACCCTGTCTCGGAAAAACAAAAACAACCAAAAAAACCTCATGGACTCTCAGCTGTCAAGGCTCTGTGCCCTTGATCCTTGGATCCTCATGTCTTTTTGTTACGCTCTACTAGGGTAGTAATGATACTTGCTAAGAAAAGTTAACCCAAACATTAAAATATATAGGATATATGTAAAGATGGATCTGGAAAGGTCATAACCATGAATGGAACTGGTGAAGCACAGAGGGAGGAGTGGAAGTATACTTTCTGCACTAAATCTCTGGTGTGTTTTGAATTTTCTACACGATGTCAAACCTACTTAACCTCTGTGGGAAAATGTATAGAGTCTTGAGCCAGGAACCCTGGCACATACCTATAATCCCAGCATTCAGGAGGCCGAGGCAAGACAACCTGTTTGAGGCCAGCCTGGGCTACATATTGAGACCTTGTCTCAAGAAACAAAACCTATAAAGTAGAGGCTTATTGGAAGCACAAGCTGTAATGGAGATTCTATAGGCAATAGTCCTGCAGTATGAATGTTTCTTGAGGCTGCTATGTGAGTAAGTAAGTACACAGTTCAAACAAACCAAAGGTCTACAGAAACTGTTTCCTGGAATCTTCGCATGTCTACCAAAGCAAGGCAGCTGGAGAACAGTACTTGTACACTCAGGTCATGGGCCCAGCTTATTGTTTGCTTGGAGAACCAGGAGGGTAAACTCCTGAATCCAGCATTGCTCTCCTTCGAGCTGTTTCCTTGGCAACACTGTGGTTTAACCGCCTTAGCCGTTCCTACAAGACAGGAAGATAAGGAATCTAAGGACTGCTGTAAAAGGTTTTGAATCAAGTAGGCACTGAAAGATACCTTAGGGGTGGATTTTTTTTTGTTTGTTTAGAGACAGGGTTTCTCTGTAACAGCTCTGGCTGTCCTGGAACTAGCTCTGTAGACCAGGCTGGCCTTGAACTCACAGAGACCCCCCTGCCTCTGCCTCCAGCAGGATAAAGAACTGTTAGAATTTTGTTTTGTTTTTTTGATCCCAGGTCTTGCTATGTAGCCCTAGCTGATCTGATAGTCCCTGTGTAGTCCAGGCCATGCTCCAAGACCCAGCCGTCCTTCTTGCCTTAGCCCACCAAATGCTGAAATTTCATTATGTGTCACCAAGCTCTGCTAGGAAATTTTATTTTATTTTTTATTACCTGGGCATTCTGTAAAATATTGTTGACCAAGACAACTCGTCGCCTGGCATTAAGCAGCTTCTTAACATAGGGGTCCAGATCCAGGGCCACCTTCTGATCCTCATTGATCCGGCAAAGTTCTAAGAAGAGGAAATGGGAAACCAACATCTAATGGCTCATTTTTTGTTCTTAGGGAATATAAAAGAGGAATGGGATGAAAAACACTCTGGCAGTCTTGTGTGACCACAGACACCTTCCCTTTCACTCTGTCCTAAGATACTCCCAGAAATTAGTGTGTGGGTAGTTCTGATATTGAGGAAACCTAACCTAAAGACGGAAACCAAAGCTCGTAAAAGTGAGTTCAAGGGTTCTAGGTATTCCGAGTGCTCACTCACCTGTAGCTAGGTTGTCAATTTGTTCCCGGAGCTCTACCTGGCTTTCTCTGCAAAGAGGTACAAAGGCCTGCACAGTCAGTGAATGGAACCCGGGAAACTAATTCTACTTATTCCTCCAGGACCGAGACAAGCCAACCTCAACTTAAAGGGCTCACCTACGCCCTTGCTCCTCTTTTACCCAGCCTCAACATCAGTTTCCCAGAAGAGTCTACGTCTCAAGAACTTCTCTGGTCTGGTCTCTTCCTTTCGTGGCCCCGCCCCTACAAAGCCAGTTCCAAAGGCCCCGCCCTCAGCCGTCCCGGTCCAGCACCTGACCGCGTGCACGTGAGAGTCGAGCTGCTGTACAGCGGGTCGTAGGAACTCCAGGAGCCCCTCGGCAAAGAGG